ACAGTGGAGATCAAAATTAGAGAACAATCTATAAATACTTGATATTTTCTGAAATATTGTTAACACTCAAACACTCAAAATTTGAAGGAATATTAGCTGTATGTATACCACTGTTCTAATAATATGTTTGACAAAATAACCACGCCATTTCAACAAAAACCTTTATTTTGTGGAAAACACAGTGATTAAAATTAGAGAACCGTAACCACTGTGGAACGAAATAAGATTACAACTAAAATCTTGGAGGGCTACAGATGTCAGAAATTAGTAGGAAATGTAGAGGCCCTTGCTTTGAATGACTTCAGCACATCTGGTGTGATCTTTGTCCACTCTTCTTCAACTCCCTTCCATATTTCGTTTTCTTAGCCATAACTTTGTCTCCAAGGTTTCTCCAGAGATTTTCAGTTGGGTTTAGATCAGGACTCTGGGCTGGCCATTTCAGGGTGTGCTCACACTAGGCATTTTGAACCGTGCCCGAGCACGTTTGACCCCCAAAACCCGGTTCGTTTGACTGGTGTGAGCACTCTGTGCCGCGCTCAAGAGTGGTTCGTTTAGGGCACGGTTCGGTTGGAGTCGGGCGCGGTATACATGCAGTGTGAGTGCTAACCGAGCCGGAGCATGGATCAAATACTGTTTTGTGTGCGCTACTGTCATCATTACGACCGCAAACATATACTATTACTACTTCTACACTACGCTTTTCAATTAATTTAATTCAATCTAGTATATTTAGGTTTATAATGGCTCTGGTTCTCACCTTATTGATGAACAGGAAATGTAGTTTGCGAGTAAACTGCAAATTATTTAATTAAGGTCAGCTGCCTCCGTAATAATACTCTGATACATACAAGTGAAAATCAGTGCACAACACAAATTATAAATTAATTATTAATTATTCGACAGAATATTAGTGAAAGTGGTTTTCTCCGTTATCTCGCACATGACGTAAGCGTGCTCCGGCCCGGAAAGTTTAGTGCAAGTGTGAGTGCAGGCCATCGGGGGAGTGGGGAGGGGGGATAATCGCACTCGGGCTCGGTTCAAAGCAACCGTGCCTAGTGTGAGTACACCCTCAGTGTTATTAGCTTCAAGAAACTGCTTTACCCGCTTTGCAGTGTGACAGGCGTATTGTCTTGCATGAAAATTGCAGGTGGATTGGGAGATACTTGCAGGGAAGGTACTGCATTTTGGAGGTTCTGATAAATATTTGCATTCATGCTGCCATGTAGCTGTATAAAAGGCCCAACCCCTAATCCTAATCCAACTCCTTATCCAAATCCCCCAAAGCATGACACTTCCTTCTCCACCTTTCACTGACTTCTTTACGCACTCGGGGTTCAGTCTTTCCCCTGTTTGATACTGAACAAAATGTGTTCCATCAGACCCAAATAAATTAAACTTGCTGTCATCACTAAAGTGAACTTTGGACAAGTTCTCCTCTGTCCACACAACATGCTCCTCAGCAAAGGTTAGCCTAGCCTTTTGATTCTTTCTGCTGATGAGAGACTTGGTCACTGCAGAGTGCGTTTTCAGTCTGACTCCTCTTAAACATGTCGAGACAGATCCTTACCCTGTTCAGCGCTGAACTGGCGAGCAATTCCAGCTGCAGTGTTGAACCGATTCCTCATTGAGAGTCTCCGCATTATCCTCTCTTCTCGTGCATTTGTCTTATGTGGACGTCTTTTGGGGGGACTTGAATGAATTAGTGTCATTGTAAACCTGCAATATTTTAGAAATCACAGATTTGGAATGACTAGCTTCTCTTGCAAGGGCTGAAAGAGTAATGCCTTTGGCCTTCATCTAGACCACCTCCTGTCGCAGGCTTTCATTCATCTTAGACCGGCCCACCATCTTGCAATCTCAGTGAAAATTGGAGGAATGCTGCCAGTTAAATAGGGGTTGTCATATAATTAAGGAAATTAATTATTTAGTCAGATTAACACCAATAACTTAGAGGTATCTAAGGCTACATTCACACTGCAGGCAAATGTGGCCCAAATCAGATTTTTTTTTGCTCACATGTGACTCAGATCTGTTTTTCTCATGACAGTGTGAACAGCACAAACCACATGGAATCTGATATTTTCAATTCCGATTTGTGCCCCTTCTAGGCATGGGCCGGTATGAGATTTTGACGATATGATAACCTTAACCAAAAATATCACGGTTTCACAGTATCACGGTATTGTTGTTGCAGTTCTAAAATTTGTTATTTTTAAAAGGCTTAGGGAAAATTTTTTTTTTAACACAATATATTTTGTTTTTGAGCAACATACAGAATATTAGGAACAGTAGAATTTGTTTATTTTTCTTTGATTTGTTTCCTAAAAAGAAGAAAAATAAAGACTGACATCTTTATTTAACCTAAATCTGTAATTACAGTTATTTAATTTTAGTTATATAATGCATATAAATATCATTTATATAATTTCATATCATTTAGTTATATAATTTCATATACATAATTTAATTTAATAATAACCCAATTTGAAGCAAAAATAGAATGTTCTGACTAGCTTTGTGAAATTATACTACATGCCTGAATGAAGCAAACAGCAGAAGCTCTGAATGAGACACAGATTCACTCTCTGACAGCAGGAGGCGCTTTAGGAACACCACAGATGGCGTTTCCTTAGTTACTGCTGTAAACAAAGCTGCGCAGCGCTGAAACACTGCTTTAATAGGAACTATACAGAGATGAGATTAAAAGAAAATACCACGTAAACTTTACTGAAGACAGTCAGTTCCCCTCAGAAACATTCATATAAACCCCCAAATCAATATTGAGGATTTTCTTCCAATAGTTTGTGCATCATGAACAGTGAGTGATCCGCCTGCTACAGTATTTTTCACTGTGCATCCGTCTTCAGTGTCTCTGGCCTGTGTTAACGGGCGTTTACAGACTTCATATTTTCACATAAATGACATTTTGGAAAAGTTCCA